TTCTCTACTAATCCCATCTCTGTAATATCTGTTCTTCTCTACTATAGCGTGGAAAGTTGGCTTGAGGGTCAGTTTAGTATAGGTGCAAGTCATTCTTAGCAAACCTACAGATAGACATTGAGGAGACTTAATAGGATTGTTCACATATTTAATCAAGGACCTTAGTTTCAAATATTCAAGAAGAAAGGGACTGTTCACTCAAAGAGTGGCATGTCCGATTAACCTTTGAACCTTTTTTCTTTGCGAAATAATGGAGTTATATAAAAATTTATATTATCAATCGGCGATCTATCTAAAAGCTACTTGCGGATTTATGATAAGGAACGAATTCAGACAGAATTCAACACTTTTCCAGATAAAGTTTAAAGGGTATTGGTGTGAATTGAAAGGCCGCTCTGTAATTGGAGAATTATACTTGAATTTACATGTACAGTCCTTTTAATCCTGTAAATGGAGGATTTTACTTGAATAAACGTGTACAGTCCCTTTAATCCTGTAAATAGAGGATTTTACTTGAATTAACGTTTACAGTCTCTTTAATCCTGTAAATAGAGGATTTTACTTGAAATTACGTTTACAGTCTCTTTAATCACCTGAGCTGGGAACTTTAGAATGGTGGATATCAGGATTAATACTTGATCCACTCTTTTTCCTAATCTCCAGATTAAATATTGCTTGTTCTCCTCATGAATTTAATCTCCAGATTAATTAACAGATCGGGATTAAGGATATCACATTCTAAAGTTTTCAGCTCAGGATAAAGAAGGTTAAGATAACAATGAATGAAAAGCTCTCCTAGTCACAGTGGTCCCCAATATGATGTGCATGGAAAAGACGGCGTTTGTTAAATATCCAAAATTATTACCAAAATAAAGGAAGGAACAGTCAAAATAAGAAGAAAATAAAGGATGAAGGAGAAAAGTATGTTGACAAGAATTATTATAATAGAATATTTTTGTATGATCCATATCCTACTTATTAAAAAACATAACCTAACATTAGTTTCAGTAGAAGTAAATATTTCCATTTACTGTTATAGTGCCGATTGAAGGATTCATATCTCTAATTGGATAATGAGATAGATAGAAAGATAAATGTTACCATCATACTATTTCTATTGGTTCAGAATAGACAACAAACATATGTCTGAACCCTAATTGGATCAGGTGCTAATGAACTTGGCATTCAGGAGTGACTTAAGTCTAACTTTCGTCTTTCTATTCCACAATTTCACGGGTTTCACTGCATGCTCCTTGATTAAAATACTAGGAAATAAACTTATTTGTTGTTGTATTTGTATAATTAAAATGGCGAAGCTATTTCTAAAATTGTTGTTTTGGAAAATAAAACCTGAAATTCAGCTTGACGATTTATCTTTTACTCTTGAAATGGCTAGATGTCAGATCAAAACTTGTTAAACGAAATTCGTGGCAATTTTTACCAAAATAATGGTTTTATCGCATTAGTCAAATCTTCGAAATTCGGTGCTGATAATGCTCCACATTTTTGAAAATATAATTTGGTCCGGGTTGACCCTCTTTACTTAGTTCTTATGATATAATAACCAACAAATCAATATTAATTTTTTTTAAATCACATGAAAATGAACAAATAAAACGAAAAAAAACTAGTTGTCAAATGAAAAAAAGGGAAAACGATCTTGAAGAAAATTTGTAAATATACTCTTTTTTAAGAATAAATTAGTCAAATCATTACATTTTCGATAAACTTGACTTTCGTATCTTCATGAAAACCGCATTTAACATTTAACATTAAACATTAAATCAAAATGATAAATTACTTTAATTTTCCCAGCGTTATAAATATTTACTAAAGATGCATATTATATACTACAAAAACAAGAACATAAATACTTTATTGTTTTCTAAAATAGAGAGAAAAAAATAAAATTTTTTTATCGAAACAGAGAATGATTAATTAATGACGTAAAGCCAAATAATATATAAAGTCATAGAATTGAAAAAAAAAAATTTTCGCCAAATCTATCAATCAATTTTCGCCAAATCAATCAATGAATTTCCATGTAAAAATGAAAGTGAGACCATTACGCTAGACTATAAGCTGACATCTGCACATGTTTGTATTTTGGAAAAGCGCTCTTTGCGCTAAATCTATTTTAAAATAATGAAGGAATATATCCATGTAAAAAGGAAATAGGAATGGAATAGAATAGGAATTGAATAGAATAGGAATTGAATAGAATAGGAATGGAATAGAATAGGAATGGAATATAGAAACGGAATGGAATAGAATAGGAATGGAATAGAAACGGAATGGAATAGAATAGGAATGGAATAGAATAGGAATGGAATAGAATGGTAATGGAATAGAATATGCATGGAATAGAATAGGAATCGAATAGAATAGGAAAAGAGGAATTTCAGACTTAAGTGTTTTAGAAAGTGCAAAGAATATAAGACCCAGCAAGTGTTTATTGTAAAAAGACCCATTTAGCAAAGTTTGATTTAGTTACCAGAAAACTGGGTTACTTTGTAAACAACATCAAACATACTTTAGTATCTGTTTAATGTCGTCTTCCTATTCCACAGTTTTATGGCTCTTATTATATAAAAAATTGAGAAAAATTATAATTTTCTCCAGGGGCTTGGATCGGCGTTCCAGGGAAAAGAATGGAACACATTTATGCAAGTCATTGTCAGTTAGAAATCTAAAATGATAAATAAATATGTTTTGTGATTTGCCAGCACTTGAGACATTCACTGCGTAACAATTATATATATACATATATTATTATATATATACATATATTATATATTTTACATTTTATTTCAGAACCAAAAAATAATGGAATAGGCAGACGACATTATACAATGATTATCAGAAAACTCTGAAATGTAAAGACGACTTTCAGACTGAAGATTTGACTTTAAATAGTCCAATCAGCATGGTACGAAGCAATTGTACAGTTTAAACAGACCCATCTCACTTATTTTGTGTCTAGTACTACAATTTGCTTTGTAACACCATTAAATACACTTTGCTTTAATAGTTTTATTAGACACTGATGAAAACATTAATTAAGGGAAATGGGTCTGTCTACAATGGACCATTTCAAGTTATAACTTGATTCTAAAAGTCGTCTTCATAGTCAGAGTTTTCTAGCTATCTCTGTAATAATTTTTGTTTTTAAAGGATACAAAATTTTCATAAGATGCTTAATATAAAGAGGAAAGAGAAAAATCTGGAAAAAAAAATTTTTTCTCACTTTTTAAATGTTTAAGTAAATTTTTTTAGATCCAAACACATTTAGGTTTCAAAGGTTTATTTTTGATAACTACAAAAAACGATTTTGTTTGCATTGAATATTTGTTTTTCAATTATCTACTAAAATGCATTATGGTAGATCATAATGTTGAAAAAAGCAATCTCATGTGACTCTCAATTTAAAAATTGTCTGATAATCAACTGAGATATCCTAATTCTTCTCACTAAAAAATGAGTTCCAAGAAACTTAAGTGTACAGAGTACACTTGGTATTAAGTACTTTCCCAAGGGCGACTTCCCATGTGACAATTTCCTAAGTAAAATCTTCCCATATCCGCAAATTCCCAAACGGCAACTTCCCAAAGGTTATGTTAGGCCCTCTGAGGCGCCACAAGCTGCTATGGAGGCCGAGCACTGCGGCTAGGATGGGCTAGGGGGCCGAGTGCCGCGACTAGAACAGACTGGGGACCGATTGCTACGACTAGGACAGCCTTGAAAAGGTGCTGCGTGTACTTAGCACTTTGATATATATAATTCACGCGATACGGTTTTATACTTTCTGCAAGAAAAAATTAAGTTTTCACCGCTTGAATGCTTGTAGGCGGCTGAATAAAAATAAATTGCATATTCAGTATGCAATGCATTACAAATAAATTTAAAATAGTACGTATCATAATTAGAACATATTATTCACATTTTTATTTTAAAATGAAGGTTTTTTAAACATTCATAAAAATTTAAGTTTTGTTTCATAGAAAACTAAACTGTGGGTAATTACATTTGCTTAAATTTCTTGAATACACTTGAAGAAAAACAAAACAGTATAAATTTAAAAACACTATATTTAACGATACTTGAAGATTAGATACAAGTTTTTATAAACCTACTTACTTACTAACAATTGATCAGAGAAACAGATAATTTTTAATGAGTATAAAATAAAAAAAAAACTATTTTATAAAAAAGAAGGACATATTACTCATATTACAAGCTGATGCACTTCCAAAATTCTATTATTATAGTTACCCACAAGGGATGAGACTTCAGAGACGGCTGTACAGAATTTAGGCATGGGCACAAACTTTTTTCTTCTATTATGTTACATTTCGTTTCTTTATTTTCAAAATATTTAATTGAATAATTAATTTAAAACTTGAACACTTGATCTCAATATCCAATGTGGGCATTTGTAGACACAGTTGATCCCTCAATTATCAAATATCTCTGCAGGGTATGAAAAACCCCGGTTATTTAATTTAGAGGTAATAAATTGATAATATGGCGATCTATTTTTAACCTCGAGATTTTTTGGTCATCATTTAAAGAGAGTGTTCGCGAAAAATGAAAGGGGATATATGTTTACGGCGAAAAATAATCGCTTTTGATCGCTACTACTCTTTCTTCTATCTGTTACGTCTATAAGGAGAAAATTGTCAAAAACGACTTATACTGAAGAACGTAGCGTTCATACAAATTCAGAAAGTTGCGATATACTACTCGATCATAAAAAATCAAATTAATTTCAAACAAATCATTTAGATATTACAACCTATAGTCAACGATTATTTTTCGACGCATTCGTAAATAGTCTCATCTTTTATGGGTAACCCTTAACATATCGGTCGATACAAGACGGGCAGTTACGGAAAAGCAGGAAACATCTAAAGATAGGGTCTCAGTATCTAGATAGGGTCTCAGTATCTAGATAGGAGGGTCTGAGTATCTAGATAGGGTCTCAGTATCTGGATAGGGTCTCAGTATCTGGATAGGGTCTCAGTATCTAGATAGGGTCTCAGTATCTAGATAGGGTATCAGTATCTAGATAGGGTCTCAGTATCTAGATAGGGTCTCAGTTCAATACAATACAATACAATACAATACAATACAATACAATACAATACAATACAATACAATACAATACAATACAATACAATACAATACAATACAATAAATTCAATTAAATTTGGAGCTTTTCAATTATATAAAAAAAACCTGCTTATTATTTTTTTAAGGATTTCAATTTGTTTTTAGGAATTCTTTTTTTGATGTGACTTGTACGTCTGTCTATCCGTTTGTATCCAAGAAAAACGTCAAAAAGACAGAAAGGATCAAGCCAAAATTTTGTGTGGCAACCCGGAAAATTATTATGAACTCACAGAATTGAAAAATTTTGCCTTGAAAGAAATGTTAACATATATTATTTTTGAATTTTGACCAATTTAAACAGAAAAATCCGCAAAAATTTTGTTTATTGTAATTTGTAGAGTACAATGAAAAATGACGACATGAAACTAAAAAGCAATCATTAAATACTAAATCGTTACTGGAACAGGGGTGCGAAGCACCCTAAATGCCTATTCAATGAAAATTTTACTTGATATGGATCGCAGTTGGATGCAGGTCTTCGATCCTCTAAATATCCCTTTCTACAAAAATAAAATTTTATCTAGAATTCTTTAAGATCACTGAAAATGACTTATTTGCATAATTGTGTGATTTTTGGATATTCTCGGAAATAACATTTTTTAAATACCCAAATTTTAGTGCTAGGAGCACTAAAATAGTCTATCTGACCATTTAAATATTTTTTTTTTGCAGGGGCCAGAATTGTCATATTGTCCAAGTAAGCTTGCAGCCTCCTGTGGTTTGTCCCATGAGACTGCTTGGGGTTAAGTGAGCGGGTTTGGTTTGTGTCATGTGGAGTTCCCTGGCAGTTTGGGCAGATATTCAATTGTAAAAGTTAAAAAAATTCCATCGCATTTTTGAGAATTAAAGGCCCAAACGTTTTTATATATTTTTTATTGGGTTTACTGTAAGTAAATATTTTAACGGAAATATGTTATAAATATAACAAAATCAAGAAAAAAATAAGTTTATTGACTTCTGACGTCATGAGACGTAAAACCATAGATTAATAAAAATACAGATAGACCTCTAGATGTCGTCTTTTTAACATTTAGTGGGGTTTCGTTCACAATAACCCTGAGGCAGAAGCGCAAAGGAGTTACGCGCATGCTCTCTCTCTGTCTTGTCATTCAATGCAGCATGTGCGTAACTCCTTTGGGCTTCTGCCTCAGGGTTATTGTGAACGAAAAACCACTAAAACTTTAAAAGACAACATATAGTGTGCTATCTGTATCGTTATTAATTAAAGAAAACAATCTGTATTTAATTAGCATCTGTCTGTAAGTTTTTTTCCACGTCATATAAATAAGATGATATGATTTTTTAATTTAACTTTAAAGTGTATTAAAAAATTGTATTCTGATTAATTTATAATTTTCAAAAGAATACCTTTCTTCTGCACATTCTCTTGGAATCCTAAAATAAAACAAATTTAAACATTTAATTTTAAGATCGATATTCTCCGTGATTTGATTTATACTTGACTTTGATGACACTTGGCGTTCCCGTTCCAAGATTTTTTAAATGTTCCTTTTCAAGCGGTCATTTTTTCTTGTCTTGTCAATTGTAAAACTCGAAATTTTGCGGATTTTTCTGTAATCATCTGAGTTGCCTTACAAAAAAACGCTTTATGATCGGTTCAGCCGTTTGACGTTTATTAGTTACCAACAGACTTGACGGACAAAGAAGTCAAATTTATGTGTAGAAGAAATAAACTGACCTGATGCTGCAGGCTCTATTTGCTACTCCAGCTGAGAAATCATGGATTGAAGAGGTTTCATGAATACCTGAACAAAATCAGAGATTATATAGATCGAATTTAAAGAAATTTCTGGAAAATATGATTTTTGTAACTATATTGCAAAGTTTAGAACCAGATTGATATTTTATTCAGTCATATCTTTTTCTGAAATATTTAATTCATAAATTTATGACAATGATGATAAAGAGATAAAAACGGTCTACCATTTATTACAATTTCTTTGGGAAATACATATTGTAGAAGTCTCAATAACTCAGAATGATAACATATTTTCACAAGTTTATTTATTCATTTTTTACTCGTTTAACATACTAAGAATGACTAGTGTAAAATCCGAGATTGAACAAGTTTGCGAAATATCAGTGAAACTGTTTGCGCATTTATGCAAACTCAATTCTAATTTTAACATGTAGGACAAAATCATATTTTCTTATAACTAAAAGTCAGGCTTCTACAATATATTCTTACGTTTTTTATCTGGGGCATAAAATTATTTTAAAAATCTATAATCATGTGAGCAAATTTCCAGAATTATCCAGGCTTGTGATTTTGAAGTTTTGGGTTAGTCCAAGGATGGACTCGGGTCAATTTGAATTCGAATCTGACCCACCCCTTGTACCGGCCGTAGTGACACAGGGCAGGTACCAGCCCGACCCTATCCAATGCCTCCTCGGTTTTAACCATGGAGTAAGGAATAGAAGGGAGATATAACTGACGCGGTTCGCCCTACCATATGATTATACATGCGACGGTACTTAATTTCAATAAGAAATATTTGTTGATGTACAATTACCGCGTATACAATAACCTATTCTGAATATTTCTTATAAAAATGGAGTACCGTCTGCAATGCATTTATGATCATATGGTAGAGGGCGAACCGCGTCAGTTATATCTCCCTTTTATTCTTTACTCCATGGTTTTAACTTTGATGTCGCGGCTAGACTTTATACAGTACCCGGCATATCATGGCCTATTTGACCCACCCTACTAGCTTACCTGTCAATCTTCGTTCGTTATCTTTCCCCTCATGTGGATCATAAGCTTTAATATGCCTGAAATAGAGAAACATACTTGAAGAATCTGATAAATAATATCCTAGATATAGATATATATAATATCCTAGATATATATATATAATATCCTAGATATATATATATATAATATCCTAGATATATATATATATAATATCCTAGATATATATATATATAATATCCTTGATATATATATATATAATATCCTAGATATTGGCGTTTTACAAAATGGAAAAGTGATAATTCTGACAAGTTCCCTTTATTTTTTTCTAAAGCAAATATGCGCAAGTCAGGAGTAAAATATGAAAAATTAAAATAGTAATGTGAAGTTCTTATTTGTCGGGTTAAAGGGACTGTAAGCCACCATTATTTAAAGGAACTGTAAAAGAAACATGAAATGGGGTATAGGAGTTGATCGAGACCCAAAAGAGATCTGATGTTCCTGTCTCGAGAAATTGATATAAAACTGCGTCTCTGTCTGTTTCACGTGACAATCATACTGCACTGCCATTGGTGGGAGTTCTGGTCACGTGATACGGACGTAGTAATTATATTATCAATTATATCTATTAAAAATAAAAATTTATTAAATTCAAATAATAATAGTAGTAACCCTAAGTTTTTCAGGCTCCTCTGGCATATCGTCGTTTTCAGATTGGTTGCGTATTTGCTGAATATTATCTGCTTAAACCTACAATTTTTATACAAAATTTTATATATATAAATTTTCATATAAATTTGACACAGTTTTATTATTTTATATCAATTTCTCGAAACATGAACATCAGATAGAACTCTCATGGGTCTCAATCAACTTCTAAAATGCTTAGGTTTTAGCCTATACCCCCTTTCATTTTTTCCTTTATGATCTCTTTAAAGGTTGAAAGCTTTCAAGGAAAAATCTATGAAAGTTTTGCCAATTACTTCTTAAAAAGCAAATTTAAAAACAAGTGCTCTAGAGGGCTAAAATGTACATGTAAAGGTCTACAGAAAAGCATATGTGAGTTAGAGCGATAAAATCAAAGCCTTAGGCGTTGCAACACTTCAAAGTCGACCATTTCTAAAACATTGATGAAACAGTGCCCTTGAAATCTTTATCGTATCAATAATGTGGAAGATATTGTCGTTTTCATAGATTTTAAAATTTTTATTTATAAAAATTCATTTAGGTTTTCCTATAGTAGAAAGGAGCATATGAGTCACTTTTGCTAAGAAACCACAATTTAAAAATAATATTCTTTTTAAATGATAAACCATGATACATAATTCATACTTGATCACACGCACCTCTGCCTCTTTAGTAAAAGTAAATTCAACCTATATGAAGCATAAAGTCTGACCGCGTCAACCTTGTTGCACCGGCTAGTCCTGTCCATAGAGCTAGGTACAGTACAAACTGGGACCGGAAAGGTTGACCTGGCTTGGTAATTCAAATTTACTGCGGCTTCCCGTGATTAGGCCGTTATGAATCGGGCGTTATCGTTTTTGCATGGAGGGTCACTTGAAATAATGCGTACAGTCCCTTTCAGCATTAAAATTTGAGAAATTCTCCAGTTTTGTGGTTTATGCTCTGCTAGTAACACTGCTAGTGCACTCATGTTTTTTTAGAAAATGCATCAAGTAATAAAATGGTTAAAGTTAGACAATTTTCTAGTTTTAATAATTCACAATATGTAAATAATTAATTATTTCATGATTCATAAAATAGTTTTTTTTACGAGGAAATCTATAAACCCAGTCAAACTAAAGTAAACCTTGTTGCACCGGCTAGTCCTGTTGATTGTCTGCTTTATTAACCCAATGTCCGTACGGTGCTGTACAAACTGGGACCGGAAAGGTTGACCTGGATCGGAAACTCAAATGTACTACGGCTGCCCGTTACTAGAGCAGCTTTGGGGTCACAAAGTCATACCAGTAAATAGTAATGTCGCATAAATTTTACCTTTAATTAATAATTTGTCTGTTTAATGTTAACCTTATACCTTTCCTTTAGACTACAAATAGTTAAAGGAACTGAGTTTTTAGCCACAACCTCAAATTTAGTAATCCCTATATCTTTGCATACTGATGGTGTAAACTATCTTAAAACTTTGTTTATTTAATCATAGTTTGAAAAGGTTTACGACATTAGGTTGCAAAGATATAGGGATAAGAAAATCAGAGTTTGCGGCAAAACTCGTTTCCTTATGACGCAGTAACAATTTTTTTAGAGTCACAGGGTCATTAAATGAATGTTTTTAAACCACACGATCTAATGGAAATATTTTATGCTGGGACCAAATTTAATTAATTAGAAAGGTCACTGACTTTCAGCTACCTCTACGCGCTGGTTCGATGACTCAAGATTTGAATTCATTAAATTCGGACCCTGACCTGATATGATGTCTAGAGAGTTTATCAATAGCTCGCTCTATCTCTATAATTCCGTTATCGTCCCTGTATATAACAAGTAATTTAACAATATTTAGAAATTTAAATATTTCAAACATACAATTGAATCCAATAATGCAGTTTTTAATTGCATCAATTGTGGGGGTCAAATATAATACCCCTCTCCCCCTTTCGAATTTTCATAGGTTTATAGATTATAATAGCTTTTTCAATAAAGAACATACTATGCTATAATGCAATATAATAATGGCGTATTAAGTTATAGTTTTTGGATTAAAATGTATGCCAAAAACATGTCGATATATAAATTATTAAAAAAAGAAATGGAATGGAAAAAAATATGATGGCAACCAAATGCATTCTGCAGATATACTTTATAGCTGATACTTTGCACTTTAATTTTCTCCAGAAATTTTTTTTTGGATGGCAGCTTAAAGGGACTGTACAGGAAAAATGAAAGGGGGTAAAGGATAAAACCTGAGAATCTCAGGCGTTGACCGATATCTATAAAACATCTATCTGATGTTTCTGTCTCGAGAAATTGATATAAAACTGTGTAAAATTTTTACGAAAATTCATATATATGCAATTTTGTATAAAAGTTGTAGGTTTAAACAGATCATATTCAGCAAATACGAAACCAATCTGAAAAAGACTCTCAGGTTTGCTCTTGTTATAATTATTTAATTTCTATTTTGCATTTTTAATAGATATAATTGATAATAGTAGTACATTTAATCCGTATAGTCCGTATTACGTCACCAGAACTTCAGCTAATGTGCAGTGCAGTATACTGGTCTCGTGATTTTCGTCTGTATCACGTGACAACGTTACTGCACTGTCATTTGCTGAAGTTCTGGTGACGTAATACGGTTTATACGGATTAAATGTAATAATATTATCAATTATATCTATCAAAATGCAAAATCAAAATAAAAAAATTATAATAGGAGCAAACCTAAGATTCTCAGGCTCCTGTGGGATTAAACTGTTCTATACAAAATTGCATATACATAAATTTCTCGAGACAAGAACATTAAAATAGAACTCTTAAAGGTCTCAATCAGCTCCTGAGATTCTCAGGTTTCAGTCTCTATACCCCCTTTCATTTTTTCTGTACAGTCCCTTAAAAGGGGGGGGGTAAATAAAGGGGGGAATAAAGGTAAATTCCTGGGGTGGTTGGGGTGGGGGGAGGGATAAAAATTCTGCACAATTTCCAATAAACATCAATTGTATAGTGTACACGGAGCCATTTCAAGCTAATTTTCAAGCTACAGGGTAAAACAAAACAAAAAAAATAGATAATTTTAAATATCGTCTTCCTATTCCACAGTTTTATGTGCCCACTATACCTCATAGAGAGTGTAGAGAAGTTTGTATGCGCTCCTGCTCCGTTCCAGTCTCCCTAATTATAAAATCATATTTTAAAATTAAATCTTTGTTTTCATAAAAGAGAGTCCCAAAAAACATGAAAATCGGTGGACAGTCATGATGAATGTTAAAAAATCTTAAAATCTGTCTTTCTGTTCAAAGACGGAAAATCTAACAATCCTTGAGCAAAAAATTTAATCATTATCAATTTAAAAAGATGGATTATAAAAGTTTACACATAAACCTCATGTTTTAATTTGGACTCATGTCACATGCGTTATGTACAATATTAATTAATAATTACAATATTATAAATTATATACAATTACAAATATATGTAAATAAAGAGTAAAGTGGTGCGTCATCGTCTCTGCAAAAATAAAACATAAAAATCATAGATTAAAAACAATACAGATAGAACACTAGATGTCTTCCTTTCAAGATTTTCGTTCACAATAACCCTGAGGCAGAAGCCCAAATGTGTTACGCGCTAGACAGGGAGAGAGCCTGATCTACGCCGCATGCGCGTACCTTCTTTGTTCTTCTGCCTTAGGGTTATTGTAAGCGAAAAACCCCTAAATCTTGAAAGACGAAATATAGCGTTCTCTCTATATTGTTATTAATCTATGGTAAAGATGATATATGATGAGACTGTTAAAATTATTTTTATAGGTGATCCTCCATTAGGAAAGTGCATCAACGATGTCCAATAATGCCGCCATTTAATCCCGTCACTTGGCCATTGTGATTTTTTGTATCCAATAAACATCAAAACTGTTGATCTGATCAGGCCCAAATTTAATGTGAACTCACATTACACCAGGAAAGATTTCTAGAGTAATGTTACATCGTCTATACGCAACATCCCCCTACTGTACTTGTGACCTACTAACTTTCCTACCCACTGCAATATCGGACCTACGCCAGCTGTTTATTTTTTTATTATTTGAGGGTTAGGTTAGGTTAAGTCAATTTCTGGGCCGAGCGCTACAGCTAGGACAGGCTAGGGGTCCGAGCGCCACGGCTAGGACAGGCTAGGGGTCCGAGTGCCACGGCTAGGAAAGGCTAGGGGGCCGGGCGCTAAGGCCGGACAAGTCCATATAGCAGCTATAAAACCACGTGTTAGTAGGTCGGATGTGTAGAATAGCGGATTTGGCGTAGGTCAGAAGTGGATTATAGCTGATTTACGTAGGTCGAAAAATACACCACCGGTTTATGGTCGTAAAGAATCAAATATCAAGATTAACGATACTTCCCAAAAAAGTTCCAATATCAAAAATTGAGGCACATCTATCCATGGGTTTCATGAGTTATTATCGGACATCCGAACAAACAAACAAACAGACAAACAGAGATTATTGATTTATATATGTATGAAATATGCCCACTCTACTCTTCAAACATCTTTATATTATTTATTCTATTTAAATATTTACAAATTTTATTATTTTAAATTCTTAATCTAAGATTTGCTGTCAAAAGGTTTTAAAAATATATATAATTCTTGTTTAGCATTAGTTAAAGATCTATAAACTGATATATCACTTATCTTTAACATTTATACAAAAAGAATACTATTTTATTATCAATTATAATTTTTATTATTAAGCATACTTTTTTTTCTGTATTTGTGGAATAAACATTTACTCCTGTTTTTAAACATTTTTTTCCAATCTGTAACTAGATCAGTATAATCCAAATAGATTCTAGTACAATAGATGGCAACGTAGTATTTGTACACTCTCAGTACAGCTGTATTCTTACATCACAAGTGTCAACTCAGTTTTTGTGTCCGACAAAATTATTAATAATTGTGAATAAAGTGCTTATCTTACAGTAAAGGTGCAATTTTATGTGTTATTTATTTTCTGTTTTTACACTTTTATATTTAATCTTGAAAAATATGTCAACTAATGTGAGAAAATTTCGTTTTCCTTGTTATATTTGACACTTGTGACGTCTTGTATAATTGATCCATTTCTCTGTTTCCTCCTATTGTACTTGATAATCTATTTGGTATAATCCATAGATAAATAAATAATCAAGCAATATATTTTGGTCTTCTTCTTGTTCCATATTATTCTGACGATCACTGCACAATACATACATCTTTTTAAGAGGTTCGTTCGATGTAGGGGGTATATTGTGCACTGTGCATAAAAAAAAATAAAATTATTTTCAGTGAAAACTTATCTAGTTTGTAAAATATTTAAGTTGAAAATTTAATTTGAATTCATTTATGAAAAATAAATTCACAGTTTGAAATTTAACCATCAGAAAATTATAATTTAAGGCGAGTAATCAATTCCTGTTGCTTGACATTAGAGGGACTGTAAGCGTAATATCAGGGTATCCTTCATGCAAAAATGACATTGTCAGATTCACAACGGTACCCTTGAAACCTTATTTTTATCAAGAAAGTGGAAGATATTGTCGTTTTTCTAGGTTTAAAATTGTCTAATTCATAAAACTTTTATGTTTTCCTGCAGAATACATGTGAAAGTAAAACTGGATAAATGTGCAAGTCAAGAAACCACCATTGAAAATAATCATTTTTCTAAATTATAAACATTGATTTATAATTCTAGCCTGATCAGACAAAGCTTTCAGGTACTTTCCCAAAGGATTCTTCTTAAGTGGCAAGTTCCCAAGAATATTTTCCCAAGTGGCAACTTCCCAAATCTGTTGTAGCTGCAGTGTTTGACCCCCCCCCCCCAGCCACGGCGCTCGGCCCCCAATGCAGCCTGCGGACCTAACCTAACCTTTGGGAAGTTGCCGCTTGGAAAACTGTCACTTGTGAAGTCGCCCTTGGGAAAATGCCTTTGGGGAAGTACCTAACACCGTTATCTTTGCATGTCGGTTCACTTGAAAATCCGCAAACAGTCCCTTCAACAGAAATATCAAAGTCTCAATTCTAATCATATTTTTTAAAGGATCAAATGTGCAGATAATACAAAGTGATTTTCTTCCCTACTGAAAAAAATTTATCATCAAAAAAAATGTTCAGAATAAAAAAACATTTCTTAATTATTCTACAATATTCACCATTCCCGGGTATCCTTTCAAGTTTACAATCTGAAGAAAAGTAAAAAAAATAATAAAAAATCTGTGAAAGTAATATTAAAAATCCACAGATATCTACAGATATCTACAGATATCTACAACTTTGAAGGTTAGGCACAAATTTTACATAGATTAAAAAAATCTGATTTTTAAACAGCGTCAAATTTGAAGCGTCGCCCCGATTTGAGCTTTGAAAATTTACTTCACCAACTCATTTAAACCTTTTTTTTGTAGCGTTAGACATCTACATTTTAAAACTGCCATATTTGCTTATTTTTAGCTTTTGTTTGATTTTTGTGTGAGACCTGAGCTGGGAACTTTAGGATGGGATCGGATAATTAATCTGGAGATTAATAACAAGAGGAGAACAAGCATTACTTAATGTGGAGATTAAGAAAAAGAGAAGATTAAGGATTAATCCCGATATCCACCATTCAAAAGTTCCCAGCTCTTGCTTATTTTGGTTTGCATTGGATTGAAGCGATCCCAACAATAAGCAAATACTTCATGGTAATAGTCGCCGGGTCGCTTGATCTCGATATCCAATGTGGAGCACTTTTAAGGTTCAAGACTTGATCCCTCAATGAAAATTGTCCCTGTTCTGTGGAAGGCTTTACAACATCTTCGAACTTTGAAGAAAAATTTGAATTTTTAAATTTAAAATATTTTAAATAAATCTCAGGATACACAACAGACGTTAGAACTTTAGTGAACTATGGCTAAAGATATTACTTCATCTTATAATTCATTTAACCCTATTCCTACTGGGGGGAGGGGGTCAATTTGACCCCCCCTATGTAGTTTTTTTTTACATAACTCAAAAAGTATTGGTCTGAGGCTGTTGAAATTTTCTGACTTTTCCTACATACCCAAATCCCTCCCTTTAGGCCTAAAACCGGGCTTTAATACTAACTGCCTGAGTCCTCAGGCACACTGCCTGAATGACTGCTTTTTCCTGTAACAAACTAAATCTTTGTTTTGACCCACTTCCACTTGTCAGATTGTGATAAAATTTAGCTTTTTGGAAAGCCTTTGACATAAGGAAACGAATTGCACAAGTTTTGCGAAAAAAAATTGCAAATTTTTTGCAAACAACCTGTCAAAGGAAATTTGCACATAGAATGTTTTTCTTGGTTAAAAATAAGGTTATTTTAAAATTTTGCAAAATTTTTTGCATATTTGAAATGGCATGATCAAGGGCTTTACAAAAATATAATTTTTCATTTTTTGGACAAATTTTTTTTGCAAACATTTTTACAATATAACTGGATTTTGCGATAAAAAATTCAATTTTTGCAAATTTGCCAATTTTTTTGCAGATTCTAAAAGTAGAGCACAAGAGCTTTATAATGATGTATCATTTGTCATATTTGGACATCAAACATGGGATTTAGAGGGGGGGGGGTCAAATTGACCCCCCCCCAGCATATCCTGGTTTTCAAGTACCCCAGCAGAGATAGGGTTAATTCCTCTTTAATATCCCGTGATGGGTATATCTAAACTGAAAGTATAAAGCAGTATTATCCTGTTTAACAGTGCCCACATTGAATATCGAGATTAAACATTACAGATAAACGATATCCACACAATAGATTCTCTGCTAACACTGCGAAAAAATTGATGTTCCATCCTATATATCCTCCTATATACCCTCCTATATACCCTATACCCTCCTATATACCCTCCTATATACCCTATATACCCTCCTATATACCCTATATACCTATATACCCTATATACCCTCCTATATACCCTATATACCCTATATACCCTCCTATACCCTATATACCCTATATACCCTCCTATATACCCTCCTATATACCCTCCTATATACCCTCCTATATACCCTCCTATATACCCTCCTATATACCCTCCTATATACCCTCCTATATATCCTCCTATATACCCTCCTATATACCCTCCTATATACCCTCCTGTATACCCTAATACCCTATATACCCTCCTATATACCTATATACCCTATATACCCTCTTATATACCCTCCTATATACCCTCCTATATACCCTCCTATATACCCTATATACCCTATATACCCTCCTTTTCAGATGAACATTTGCTCCCTTTAATCAGAGAAGAAAACGTCACCTGCATTGGTTTAGGATCCATTGTCACCAGGAGACCAAAATCTTCAGCAACACGGTGCAATAGATATCTAGAAACAGATATTTAGAAATAAATATCTAGAAACATATATATAGAAACAGATATCTAGAAACAGCTATCTAGAAATAGATATCTAGAAACAGATATTTAGAAACAGATATATAGAAATAAATATCTAGAAACATTTGTCCATAAACAGATATCTAGAAACAGATATCTAGAAATAATTATCTAGAAACAGATATCTAGAAATAATTATCTAGAAACAGATATTAAGAAACAGATATCTAATAACAAAGTTAAATTGAATTTGAACACTCGCAACAAAATCAAATTTCTATAATCCAAATATTTAGATACAGATATCAAGAAACAGATATCAAGAAACAGATATCAAGAAACAGATATCTAGAAACAGATATCAAGAAACAGATATCTAGAAACAGATATCTAGAAACAAATATCAAGAAACAGATGTCTATGAAACAGATATCAAGAAACAGATATCTAGAAACAGATATCTAGAAACACATATCAAGAAACAGATATCAAGAAACAGATATCTAGAAAAAGATATCAAGAAACAGATATCTATGAAACAGATATCAAGAAACAGATATCTAGAAATAATTATCTAGAAAAATATATCTAGAAACATATATCTAAACACAGATATCTAGAAACATATATCTAGAAAGAGATATCAATAAATAAATATCTAGGAGCAGATATCTAGAAATAATATCTAAAAACAGATAAAAATAAATTGATATCTAGAAACAGATATCAGACGCAGATATAAAGAAACAGATATCTTATAACAAAATTGCAATAAATTTGAATGAACACTAGCAACAAACTCAAATTTCTATAATCCAAAGACTTTGCTAATTATAAAGACGAGGCGTTGGAAATTTATCCGACTATTGTGTACGCCTGTACAGCTGTACTTTGACGTCATTGGTTATTTTGGTTGTTTGAGAGTCTAACAATCGACATTAAAACCTTAGATATTCAACTCAATTGTGAATGTTTTGTGCTGAAATTTAACTAAAATTAACGATATTTATTTTTATTTTAAAATTGGTTTAATCATTTGTTGGATATGAGGATCGTTTGGTGAATTATAGCTGAATTTGTGATAAAGTTACGCATCTCTTTTGTATTAAAAATAGCCAATAATTGTTAGTGAAAATTTTCAGATGTCGTCAAATATTTTTTCTGAGGTTCTATGGAATGGAATTTCTGGCAATGAAGAAGAGAGGGGACCAGAAATTTCAAATATTATAAACGGTAAATAAATATTGTGTAAATGTCGTCTTCTGTTTAATCTTAGGCAAAGAAATAATATCGCATAACTTAATGTATTAATCTTACTCTTCGATTAATTTATGGGAATTTTGTTTGAAAAATATCTACCATTAAAGAAAAAAATATCACAGACAGTTTCGTTAAAAATGCGAATTAATGGACGACCTTTTACTTAGAAGTCTTTTAAAGTTTATTACAAAAGGTTTGAGGCATGAATTATTGGAGAATTTTAAAAAGGGGGATTAAAGAAATACATTGGTGAAAATAAAACTGGGGAATATAAAGACGACTTTTAGACTAAATTTTTGATTAAATAGTTCAATGAACATAAAATACCGTAATTGAGCAGTAAACATGCAGATTGTCTAAATTTCGTCTTCAAATTCCGGAGTTTTATGTATACAAATTCAATGAATAATTCTGATAAATTCAGGTTTGTCGGTGCCACTGCCTAGCAAAGTAACATGTATGATACCCAACTGCCAAGCCAACCAAGAATAGGAGAGTCTGCGTTTACAATGCCAGCAGATCCAAAAAGAAAAAAGTTTGGATGAATTCTTTAATTGGATCATATGAATTCCAGAGTGTGAAAAAAACTATTACACTGTTAAATAAATATTATGACGTTATATTTTTCAATAATTCATTTAAATCAGGTAGAGAGAGAATTAAATCTTGAATGAAAAAGTAATGAGATAATTGATTACTGTTAAATAGTACAAGGTTACAATTGCATACAAGATATGTGACATTAATTTTCTTCTTATAAACACTCATATACTTCAAACCAAAAGTAAATGTTCCAAAGGACTGATGTAATTTCAAGTTACCAACCCATTAAAGGTCCTATCAACAACGGTTCCATTTAAACATTTATCTGGGTAACCATGAGGAAGATATCGTCGTTATTTCAACTTAAAAAGTGATGAATTCTGTAAATTATGTTAATTGTTTTTCCACTAGTCACTGTTATGGACTATGGACAAAATAAATATTTCAAGATAGATAAACTTAGGTGGTTTCCCATTGTTTTGTTTTTAAATAACTATTTAATACATTACAAAAGATGACAATATGAAACGTCAACAGGGTAAATATATACTTTTCTGGAGAAGACGACATTAGTTACTATCTTTTGGTACCCCAGAAAATGCGTCAAATTTGCGTTGATTTTCTAATGCGCTATCTTTAATTAGCAAAGTCTTTGCTATAATCCACATATTTGTGTAACCTCATGACATAGACCTTTTATTTTTTATTTTATTTGAACTAGTATGTTTGAAATACCAGGACATCATGTTGAAAATATTTAAGGATTATAAGATTAAAATTTGTTGTAAATATTTCATTATAAAATAATATTGATAAAAAGGTTAAACCTTGACATCCATAGATCGTCTCCCATCTCTATTCCCTCACATGGTCCGACCTGGTATTCCCACTGAAAATAATATTTGAAATGTTTATACAATTTACATTTTCAAGTGTCTGTCTATTGGATTGTCTGCTTAAAAGTTCGAAACGGCTGAACCGATAATACCCAAATTTCTTTGCAACCTTTTTCTGTAAACCAAGACTTCTTGATCTAAAAAGAATTTCTTGTTTGAAATTTCTAATGTCTACTGGATTGGGTTGCAAAGATTTGGTGATTATAAAAGCTGTTTGTGGCAAAAACTAAATTCTTTTGTTTAAAAATTGATTTGTAAAACCACAATTGAAAACAGACAAATCCACGAGATTACAAATTACTCTGTTTTACATTGTACAATTACAATTGTAATTAAAGTAATATTCAAAAGATGTAATAATTACAAGACAGGGGTGCGGAGAGCGCTCTGGGAAGTCACAATGATAATGAGAAAAATATGAAATAAATATCGCCTTTTTTCTTACTTTTGTGTAAGAAATATTGTTATTGTTTTTGTAATTTTTAAAATTTACAAATAAAAATTTCATACAATTATCAGTTAAGACTCAAGCTGGCTTTAATGGCTTTATATATAGAAAATACAAATACTTGGAAACATTTTATGATTATTAACGACAAAAATTCCATAGTTTCCTGATTACCATGCACTCTATACAAAACATATATAAACTTTTTAAAAATCCACGAACTTTATATTATTTAAGTAAATATTTGTAAACTGAAATTGAAAATAATCAGTTTTTAAAGAGAAGACAATGGATAATACATGCATGTATTAATCATAAATTTGTTATGGTTATCATTGTAAGCCGGAGACGCTACTCAATAAATAAAGTTGAAATTACTTCTATAGTAATGAGTTTGAGTTAAGTACCGGGTTACCCACAAAGGATGATCGAGACTTCAGAGACGACTATACAGAATTTATGCTCTCTATTTTCTCTCATTAGCCATTAAAAGATAGCATTAAAGATAGAATACTTAATTTAACCTTGTAATCTTCATATTTCATAAGTTTCAGGTCGTCTTTTCCGTCTCATCCTTTTTGGATAACTCTGTATATATTTGTAAACCTGAGCTGGCATCACTTCAGCGTTCATCCCTGAGATATTAACACCAGAATACATACAGGCCCTGAAAAGTAAAGTTTGTTGTACAATGGTCAGCGTTTGTATCAATACAACCATGAAGACTTTCTCTTTAAGCTTTGATTTCTGACATTATTTGATTTATTCTTATTAGACAATATTGTCTATAGATTAGATATCTATGAAGGCAGGTATAGACATTTTTTGAGGCTTTTATGGATAAACTAAAGAGGATGGATTGTTGACGCGGACCGGCCGGCCCATGTATAGCCCGGCCGGAATTTACTAATTAGACAGTTGTTTGTATATATTTGAATAATCAATCAATCGAGATGGATATTTAGGAATTATCATGTATGTTGTGCACATACAAATACAAATGCAAATACAAATATTTATTTTCTTTATTTTCTGTACATTTTTACATAAACGTTGCTCTGAGCTTCTTCAACTCAACTTGTTAGGCGCCCAGAACGGAAAACTTTAGAAGTGTGGATATAGAGATCAATGCACTCCTGTATGCCGAGTCCATTAGCGCCTGATCCAATCAGGGTTCAGACATGTGTTTGGTGTCTATTCTAAACCAATAGAAATAGTATGGCGGTAACATCTATCTTTCTATCTAGCTCATTATCCAATTAGAGATAAATCCTTAATGTCGGCGCTATAACAGTAAATGGAAATATTTACTTCTACTGAAACTATGGTGAATGCTAGATCGTCCTCCTTTGATTCATCTCAAGATTAATTTTAATTATTTACAACTTCTTTACAGGGAGGTTAAGGGAATTTTGCTAGGGATGTTTTTAGACAAAATTGGTCGAGTGAACCCGTGGATGTTTAAAAATGTGCACATTTTTTAACCAAGTTTACAAAATGTTGATTTATTGTGAGTCATGTTGCTTTTTTTGACACGACAAAAAACGTCAGACAATCTAAAAGTATGATATTAATTCATTAGTTATAAATAATAAAAACGTGTGTTGCATATATACAAGTGTCTGAAAAACAATAAGCCGTTATATTTATTATAACATATCAACTTTTATGAACTGATTAATGAGACAGTATACAGTACACCAAAACGAGACAGTATACAGTACACCAAAACGAGACGGTATACAGTACACCAAAACGAGACGGTATACAGTACACAAAATGAATTAACCCCTTCTAGGGAGTTTAATGTGGTATTCACAAGGTATTTTATATATACTCACCTGAGTTTATCCATTAATATCTAAAAAAATAAAAATCTGTCTTAAAACTGACCTTGTTAGCCCCCACACCGCAAAAGTAGGGTCCTTGGGGTCCGGGGAAACCATTTTTTGGCCAACCATACGGGTGATTATCAGAATCCAGAATAGTAAATTCCTAGAATAGTCCAACATTAAAGCACATGGTTAATAAAAAGGGTCATATAATGAATTCACTAAAAAAGAGCCAAATCACCAGTAATCCAAACATAGATTAATAAACAATACAGATAGTACACTAGATGTAGTCTTTTCAAGATTAAAGGTTATTTCGTTCACAATAACCATAAGGCAGAAGCCCAAAGGAGTCACGCACATGCTCTCTCTCTGTCTTGGCATTTAACGCAGCACGCGCTTAACTCCTTTGGACTTCTGCCCCTACATCTTGAAAGGACTACAACTAGTGTTCTATTGTATTGTTATTAATCTATGGATCCAAAGCTCTGGCGTGTTCTTATTTCAAACTAATCATTTAAGACTCAATCTATAATTTTTTAACTGAAAATGTTAGATTAGGGTCATGATTTATATAATTAAAAAAATTGTATATTTTGAATGGGATTTCAAGTGACCCTCTATGCAAATTTTGTAATGCCTGATTCCCAATGGTAACCTTAAAAGCCTTTGTTTGCTGAATAATATGGAGGATATGTTTAATTCTGATAATTACTATATGTTTTCTTGCAATAGAAATGCGCAAGTCACTTTTCTAGAGATCTCGCAATTTAAAAAAATTATTTTTTCAAAATTATTAACATTGATTTATAATTCATACCTCAGCTGAAAACTTTAGGATGGGATATCCTTAATCCTGTTCGGTTAATTAATCAGGAGATTAAGGAGATTAAGAGAACAAGCATTATTTAATCTGGAGATTAAGAAGATAAAGAGAACAAGCATTATATAATCAGGAGATTAAGAAGATAAAGAGAACAAGCATTATATAATCAGGAGATTAAGAAGATAAAGAGAACAAGCATTATATAATCAGGAGATTAAGAAGATAAAGAGAACAAGCATTATATAATCAGGAGATTAAGAAGATAAAGAGAACAAGCATTATATAATCAGGAGATTAAGAAGATAAAGAGAACAAGCATTATATAATCAGGAGATTAAGAAGATAAAGAGAACAAGCATTATATAATCAGGAGATTAAGAAGATAAAGAGAACAAGCATTATATAATCAGGAGATTAAGAAGATAAAGAGAACAAGCATTATATAATCAGGAGATTAAGAAGATAAAGAGAACAAGCATTATATAATCAGGAGATTAAGAAGATAAAGAGAACAAGCATTATATAATCAGGAGATTAAGAAGATAAAGAGAACAAGCATTATATAATCAGGAGATTAAGAAGATAAAGAGAACAAGCATTATATAATCAGGAGATTAAGAAG